TCGTCCCACTATCCGCCACCCGTGGACGCGCCAGGTAGCCTGCAGCTTGGCTGACGGGTAACCCTCCTTTCCTGGGTAACCCGCCTTCCTACCATTTGAGGCCGGCTAGATCAGTCATGATCGCAGCCATAACAAGTACAAGTACAAGTAAGTAAGGTAGTACCATGCGTACTAACCAGGCCAGTTTTGTTTATCTCTCCTGCTATGCTTTTGTACTCCAGATCTTCGATAAACCGTTGCACGTAATGGGTTCCTAATATCGGTTCCAAGTCTTGGTACCCGCAGTTTGTTTTCTGTAATATTTACCCTAGGGATTTAAAAAAACGCCTGTTTACTTTGTATGAACACTTTACACCCGCCCGATTTTGATCTTACTATCAGATATCTTCTACAGCCTTCAAGAAGCTGTCCTTGTTATGAAATATCATCAGGAGTTATCATTTTAATTTTGACCGCTTCTGACGTTTTGACTACATACGATACTGCAGGTTAAAGTGTCGTTTACTTTTCGTACACACACAACTTTATCGATTCGCTTTTTGACGATTCTTGGATTAGTAGGGGGTTTTAACAGATTTGAGTAGTTAAGTTGGTGGCCTTGGTGTGATGAAGCTCACGGCTACCAGGGAAGGCGTCGTAGCTCATTTGGCTGGAGTGTTGTTGGTACCACAGTTTTCCACCTGCTGGCGAGGTCACTGAGTTTTCCACACCTTTTTCAAATGCATTGTTGTATTATTTATACAAACAGTGCAGTTTGGCACGTCAAATTCACAATTTCCTACCCCTGCGCAGCCTGGGGGACGGAGCGCATTCCGAAGTCTGTGGCTCACGTGGTCCAGGCTCACACTCCCTTCATCACACCCGATTGTTCCCACACAAATCAATAGCGAAGGTAGCAGTCATTTGCGAATTTCTGTAGTTTTCATTGAACTTCTTCCCCTTTATGATCGTCTGTTTTAAATGCCTCTCTTCTTTTGTTTTCTATGTGTGCGCGTGCCTCAGGAAAAGGCGAACTCGAGCGATAGTAGTGGACCCATCTTTAACGCTGACATAACTCGCCAGTGGCACGGTTATGTAACCTCAAAACTCTCCTCCAACCGTGGACGCATCTGGATGGACATCTCTTCACGAGTGCGCCCTCTCCTTGGCACTATCGCTGAACATGCTCAAGGCATGACATTCGAGGCAATCGCGGCCGTGCTGAACATTGTAAACGGGTGTGTCCCATTGTTTGTCTTAATTACTCCTATTATTGCTACTAATACCACCAAAAGTCTAAGTAGACATCTGTGCCTCAATGTTTTTATGTATTCTGAACTTCAGCCTGGTCCGCGTTGGGGAAGAGTTTGCCGGCCACGTCTCCTCAGATCTCTTGGAAGTTCTACGCAATTCCATCCAACAGTTCTTCGTGGGTTTCCACAAGTAAGTATCTCCTATCATCTTATTATTTTTACTCATCTCTTCTGTAATTTAGAAAACATATGGAACGTCTGCGCTTCTTCCTTGACAACGAGACTTGGGACCTATGCCCGGTTTCAGCCAATTTCACCCTCCTTGATTTACATGTAAGCCTGTAAAATGTGGTTTAAAGAGAACATTGTGATTTAATTACCAAGTTTTGTTGCAGTCTTGTCCGTTCCCTTTGAAGTCATTTCTAAATTCTATTGTCTGATATATTGATCTCCCTCTATTTTCAGGAATTCCGTCACTTCTTCAAAACATTCCATCGCCGTGTGTCCAACAACAATTGTGCTGATGAAACTGATGAAATGTAAGCTGATTTTTTTCAACGTTTTTGTCTCTACAAATTATTTCCGGGTTTTTACCCTTCGCTCGCAATCCCAGCATTGTTTTCTTTATAGTTAAGTTTTCTTGTCATGATGAGCTGATTTTCGGAGTGGTTTTCGTCGACAACTCATTTTTTTCCCCAATCTGAATGAACAGTGTATTAGGCAGTGGATTTTAGAACTACTGACTCAACCTTGTGCTTCAGGTCTTCCGGCCTTACGATGGGAGATGGTTATCTGATGAAGGCATATAAGTTGAAAATAGAAATTCTGGTCTATGTCGCTGGTTAACCTTGTTTCGTGGTTTTACTTCAAAAATCTCATGCAGGGCAGCACCGTCGCTAAGGATGACTGGTATGGTCGCCTAAACGAGACCCGGGAATAGGAAAGCTCCATTCACTTAAAATAGATGACCTTGTGATAAATTTCTCGAAGGGTAAATATTCCCGTGCCTGGACCTTAGCACTAAACTGTAATCTTACTCTTAACTCCAGCCCTACCCTAAACTTAAACCCTACAGTTAACACGACCCTAAACCCTTAACACTATCCTGACCCTAACCCCAATTCCAACTTTAAACCTGATGTCAAGCCTAATTTCCCCGAAACGTAGTGCAAAGCCGTATGTATTGTGTGCCTTTTCTCTCCCTATGTCCTAAATGGGCAGTCGCACCGTCGGCGTTGAAAAATCCAGCAAAATGAAGGCCATCACACACAAGTCACCAGTGCATCCTTTATGGTACAATTATGGGCCTGTAGCATCTAAACAGTGTCTGCATATTTAGAGTGCCACAATCATCATCAGGAAATGACAGAAGGCACCAGATTTTTTTCTACACAGCACCCAGTAATCTGCGGCTACTGGCGAGGCCAGGGATAATGTTGACCGCGTTCAGTCATGCCTGAGAGAGAAAGAATGAGAGATTGTTAGGGGCAGACCTAACGATCAGTTATGACGCTGCCCTGATTACTCATCCAACGGTGCACTATCGATCGGTACAAGCCGC